CTTATGTTTGTTTAAACCTCTCAATGTTATTTTTCCTGAACGTTCCTCTCTGTATTATTCTTTCATTATGTTGACCAACTCAATACTTGAACGTCCTTTGTTGTATAGCTGTTCCCATTAATACCAGCCTGCTACTACTGTACAGCTTTAAACACATATTATTTCATATTTGGTATTCTCGTCTATGTTTTCCCACTCCTTGTAAGCAACAGACACAGTCAAGGAGCCTTTTTTAAGCCAATGGCACAGCGGGCATAAGATTCTAGGTGCAAATGCTAGGCTAATATTTCAATAGAGCAGCCGACCGTCACAGATGATGTGTTTAACATCCCGCCCTTACCCGCTGCTAACCCGCTCATGTTATCATGTTATTCCCTATTATGTTGTAGAGTTTGTAGTCATTTATTATGTTTTCTTTATTATTTATAATTATTGAACCGATCAACACTTTGGGATGTTACACTATAATAGATGTCCGAAACTATTTTTGTCCGAAACTTTACTTCACAAGCTAGATGTTGTCAGGGCCCTAAGGGAGCGAGTGAACACAGCGGAGACATAAACAGATCATTACAGGATATGGATAATGGCGCTGCGAGGAGTGGCCAGGGGATCTGACCGACGCTCAACACTCAAGGGACGGGCGAGAAGGACATACAGTCAGACTGTTACTGGTGCCATGGGAACTCAGCGCTGGCTGCTGATGATGGGGAAGGGCAGTTATGGAACTGTCCCGAGTGCTGTATTATCGATTGTTAATGTAACTTGGTGTCTGCATCACAGAAGAAAACATGTACTGGCTGACGTCCTACACAAGCTGACCATCGAAGCAAACACACATGCCATACCACCGCCAGCGACATGACCGCTAAAAGTTCACTGCATATTCTTTACAAGACCTCGAGAAACCATGATATGTGTATATGTGTGTGTGCCCGCGCGTGTGTGTGTGCCCGCGCGTGTGTGTGTGCTCGCGCGCGTGTGTGTGCCCGCGCGTGTGTGTGTGCCCGCGCGCGTGTGTGTGCCCGCGCGTGTGTGTGTGCCCGCGCGTGTGTGTGTGCCCGCGCGTGTGTGTGCGAGCGCGCGGGTTTGCGGGCGCGTGTGTGTGCGCGCGCGCGGGTGTGTGTTGCTATTTATGATTTAATTCAGCAATTTATGTTCAGTAGTTTGTCACGACTGAAAGATAGGCTCTGGAAACCACTAGTGACCCCAAAGCAAAGTAGTCTGCTGCCATATCGCCGACAGATGGAATCGAACTCGACACCATGGTATAAGGAAGCAGCTAGGCAAGGTTGAGGCAGCAGTTGAAATACTCTGGGGCTACACAGCTGGGGCTTTGTGCCACGCTCTCAAGAAGTGGCTAGCTGTTTTGCAGAGAAAGAGAGAGAGAGAGAGAGAAAAAGAGAGAGAGAAAGAGAAAGAGAGAGAAAGAGAGAGAGAAAAAGAGAGAGAGAAGAGAGAGAGAAAAAGAGAGAGAGAGAGAGAGAGAGAAAGAGAGAGAGAGAAAGAGAGAGAGAGAAAGAGAGAGAGAGAAAGAGAGACAGAGAGAGAGAGATAGAGAAAGAGAAAGAGAGAGAGAAAAAAAGAGAGAGAAAGAGAAAGAGAGAGAGAGAAAAAGAGAGAGAGAGAGAACAAGATGGAAGGATAATATCAGAGAAACTCTACAACAGCACGATGTACCTATGGTCGAGGCGGCCAGAAGAGCTAGAAACAGAACCTTATATCTCCCTCGACACCCACAGCAGTAAAAGAGGAAGTGAAGAAAAAGAAGAAGATGATGAAGAGACACAAGTCAAGGTAACACTAGAACCACCACAGATAGTGATGTTGAGCGTTGTCTTGGCTTCACATATTCTAGGTCAAAAAGACCAGTGGTCAGTGCGTCCTTCCTCGCCAGTACTCCTGCATGTACAAAGACAGTTGTCCATATGTAAGGGCGTATCATCTGAATATTGATGTAAATATGTATGTATGGTTTATATATGTCATTAAAACATCACTATGATCATTATCACATCCTTCTAATCTCCTTCAGCAATACAAGTATGCAACTTGTCTGTGTGTCATGCTTCTTGTGTCAGCCTGTTTGTCTGTCTGACAACGAAGGCGGCAACTGTTGTGGAAAGACTGTAGTTTGCACGTCTGTTTAAACTATGCTGCTACTGACTTAAGTGGGAATGTGTACTTATGTGTATGGTGCGCGTACAGGTGGGTTTGTGTGTACATATGTATGCACAGATGTAGAGACAATGAAGAATTTATGAGCTATGCAAAGCTGACAGCTTAAACTCATTCATTCCCAAACAGTGTGTGATTTGTGATTAGCTCTTCTGTGAATCCTACATACAAATGAATGTGTTCTCAGCTCTGTACATTTGATGACAACATACTAAAGAAATCTGGCTTTCTCAGCTTTTGGCTTCTGCGAAAGCAATAAACTCATGGAGATTGTCCTAGTAGTATGGTATACATATGGCCATCTCATATAAAACCTTGTGATACTCAACCAGTCACACACAAAAAAGGGTGTTCACATAGATGAAGAAGAAGAATATCATTAGTGAGAAGGCAAAAGAAATTTCTTGAACAGTGATTCAAAAAACAAATGAAAGAGCAGGGAAATATAACGATGACTGTCTTGCAATAAAAACAGTTTGTTTATTTTATTATACCAATCAACAGAACATTAACAGAGAATTCTTGCAATCAACCAGTATCTTCATACAGCTGTGTACAGAGAATTGTGTTTGTGACAGGCCTAGCAAATCGGCAATGGATTTGTTGTCACCACACAGAATGCTCATGTACTGAGATATAAATGGAGGAATGATCAAGTGGTATTCAACCATAGCAATGTTAAAGAAACTCTACAACAGTAAGACATGGTCTTTAATTGAGGCAGCCACAGGTGCACGAGGGAAAACCTCATATCTCACGTGAAACCCAAACTCCTACCTGGCTGTGTAGATGTTTACTGCAATTCCACATTTTTATCGGTGGTGTGAAAACACTGCTCCCCCCATTCTACGTTAGCGGTGATGTGAAAAGACTGCTCCCCCCCATCCTACGTTAGCGGTGATGTGAAAACACTGCTCCCACCATCCTACGTTAGCGGTGATGTGAAAACACTGCTCCCACCATCCTATGTTAGCGGTGATGTGAAAACACTGCTCCCCCCATCCTACATTAGCGGTGATGTGAAAACACTGCTGCTCCCCCCATCCTACATTAGCGGTGATGTGAAAAGACTGCTCCCCCCCCATCCTACGTTAGCGGTGATGTGAAAAACACTGCTCCCACCATCCTACGTTAGCGGTGATGTGAAAACACTGCTCCACCCCCCCCCCCATCCTACGTTAGCGGTGATGTGAAAACACTGCTCCCACCATCCTATGTTAGCGGTGATGTGAAAACACTGCTCCCCCCATCCTACATTAGCGGTGATGTGAAAACACTGCTCCCCCCCATCCTACATTAGCGGTGATGTGAAAACACTGCTCCCCCCATCCTACGTTAGCGGTGATGTGAAAACACTGCTCCCCCCATCCTACGTTAGCGGTGATGTGAAAACACTGCTCCCACCATCCTACATTAGCGGTGATGTGAAAACACTGCTCCCACCATCCTACATTAGCGGTGATGTGAAAACACTGCTCCCACCATCCTACGTTAGCGGTGATGTGAAAACACTGCTCCCACCATCCTACGTTAGCGGTGATGTGAAAACACTGCTCCCACCATCCTACGTTAGCGGTGATGTGAAAACACTGCTCCCCACCATCCTACGTTAGCGGTGATGTGAAAACACTGCTCCCACCATCCTACGTTCGCGGTGATGTGAAAACACTGCTCCCCACCATCCTACGTTAGCGGTGATGTGAAAACACTGCTCCCCACCATCCTACGTTAGCGGTGATGTGAAAACACTGCTCCCACCATCCTACGTTAGCGGTGATGTGAAAACACTGCTCCCCACCATCCTACGTTAGCGGTGATGTGAAAACACTGCTCCCACCATCCTACGTTAGCGGTGATGTGAAAACACTGCTCCCACCATCCTACGTTAGCGGTGATGTGAAAACACTGCTCCCACCATCCTACGTTAGCGGTGATGTGAAAACACTGCTCCCACCATCCTACGTTAGCGGTGATGTGAAAACACTGCTCCCCCCATCCTACGATGCTTCTATATCTCTAAAAGCATTAAATCTCAATATCCCCAGATCATCCGATTTCTCTAAGGGCATTAACTCCCAAAATCCTCATCATATCTCTCTAAGGGCATTGACAGTGCAAGCATGGTGCCTTCTACTCATTCTTCAACAATCAAGGTCTTATCTTGAGCAAAATAAATACATCAATGAGTTGCCATTTTCTCTTAACATGCAGCAGATCCTTTCCTTAAACTTCATGCTGTTTCTTGTAAACTAATATGATGTTTCTTCTTCTTCTGTTTGCAGTCACACTGACACCAGGTTGTAGCCCAGTATCATGGTTTTGTGTTTGTCTAGTGCTTCTCAAGTGGCTAGTGATGGATGTGTTCATGTTTGCTGCAGGTTTCAACTGCTCCGATATCCATCTCCTGCATGTCACCTCCCGCCAAGATGTCCTGCTTCATGTTTATCTGGTTACATTCAAACTAGATAGCCAAGCAACTTCATACTCTGCCTTTCAATGTGATTTAGATATAATCTGTCTGCAACCTTGTCTCTACTGCTGCCATTTGTTGCCATCATATCTCTCCAAATAACAACAGATAAGATGCATGTCCCCTGCCTGTCAGCTCTGTTTACATTTTGCATTATTTTATGAATTTAAAACATCATGTATTTATATTGTAAAATGTATATTACCTCTGCTCAATCAAATGAATTCAATATCTTATACAAAAATAATCAGCAAAATGGAGATATAAATCACTTCTAAATATACCATGTTCCCGCCAAGATCGGAGAAGAAGAACAGGGCACCTTATCCGTGCTAGTGAGCCAGGGAAAGGACTATGCCTGCAACTGGGCCAAGATTGCCCTACAAAAGTCTGGAAGGTCTCCGGGCACCCGTGAGCTGATCAGATTCTTGTCCACGACCACAGCTTTGTCCTCGTAAATGCCACTAGAATTAGTAGGCACAAAAAGACACATTCAACTGTGGTGAAACTACATTTCACAATACGAATGGATTACAAGAAAACAGACATCCTTAAATCATCGTCCCCTGTCATGTCAGAGGCATGTTCTTGAGAATTCCACTTATGACTGTACTGTGTTTCCCGTAAATACAACTTGTCTTGTATTACTGTTTGCGTTAAAATAATTTGCACTAGAGCTACTTTTGTTCGTATCAAAGTATGAATAAACAAACTATTCTCCCAAAGGAGCAGCGGTCATCAACCAATTCCCACCAAGCCACTGATGGGTTCTGTGTGAGGTTCCCTCCGTCACCACCGTCTGTATAAAAAAGCTACAGCCTCTTTCCTCCCCCCTCCCCCACCGAGTGCTACCCGAGAGTTTCACCGCCCTGATGTTACAAAACTGGCAGTGTAGATAACAGACCAAATCCCAGATACCGCTTTCTACCTCCAAAGACATACATACACATACTTATACATGGCATTATATCTTTTCCACAACTTTTATTTCAATTAAAGAATCATTCAGCTATACATGCTAAAACTGCAAAATTATGGTGAATAATATATCAAAATTCTTTGGATTCAGGACTAACTTAGAAGTAGAACGGAGCACTTATGGGTTACCGCCCTCCTGCCATGGTACTGATCCGTTGTTTAAACTTAAATCTAAATACATCGATGGCTTTCTAAACACAGGACATACACGTATGAAAAACACAAGATTTCTCTCCCTCCGTGCCTTACTAGGTTTTTCCCCCTACCACCTCCTCTCTCTCTCTCTCCCTTCGACTCGCTGCCTCTCTATGCAGGTAAGGATCACTACAGATAATTCTGCTAGATTTTGTAGCTAATATTTTCTACAGAAAGAAGTGGCCAATCTCATGAGGTAGCAATCTCATGAGAACTATACTTAATCGCCCTTTTCAACACGCTGTAGTGTTAATATTCTTTGTTTGACTATTTGGGAGCAATTTTTACACCCGACGAAAAACTGGACAGAGAAATGTGCTCCAGATGTGCCAAAGCTAATTAAGTAATGGGGCAACTATCTCCCCTGTTGACACACAAGCAGATACCTCGGAGTACTAAAGTGAATCTTATCAGAACTATTTTTTGGCCAACACTATGTTATCAATGCCAAACGTGAACACTTAAATTCTCCAATGAACGTAAAATTGTGACAACAGAGATGAAATGCCTTAGAAGAGCTGCAGGAGTTTCAAGGAAAGACAGAATACGAAATCATGAAATCAGACGAATGCTAGGAATAAAGCCAGTCTTAGAGGTCATCAAAGAACAACAGATAAAGTGGTTTGGACACCTAACAAGAATGCCCTGGTACTATCCGCCACAGCGAGCCACACTAAAACGTTACAACGGGTATAAAGCGAGTGGAAGACCCCGGAAAATATGGAGTGATGGCATTAAGAACAGCCTTACAGAAATGAACATCAGTCTTAATAGTGCTCTTGACAGAGCTCATCAACGAACATTACATCTCCCCCCGACACTTCGATGAGGTAAAAGGTGGAAGAGAAGAAGAAGAAGAAGAGACTGCAGAAATAATGGGCGGTACTAACTAAAATACTTAAGGCACGTAAGATCAAGGAACACTAACCCGGCATTTTCCACATCGTCTTTGACAGCAGTGAAACAGGTGAGTCGTCTCCCTTTGATGATCTTGGCCGAGCACAACATCCAGGCGCCATGACAGATAGTGGCTAGCGGCTTTCCTGTGAAAGGTCAAAGGTACCATTGTAGCGACGCAAGATGTCAAGATCATCTACAATGGTCCACACAGATGACTGCAGGACTCAACGATGACTGGCTGGCTTATTGGTCCGCCATTGGGCGACAGTTAGCGGCCGGAAAGTGGTGGCAGTCATCACACCAACACTGCAAGAGCCCGTTTTATGGTTACTTGATGGCAAGCAGAGCTGGCTGAACGTGGTCCATGTCCCCCCGAACCAACCTCAGAACAGAGCAGCGCATGCACATTTACCCTCCTGGAGTATATGCAAGTAACCCTTGCCCCTTCCCAACCATGTATGCACATATTTGTTTTGACATTTCACATTACAGTCAACCTCGTTAACGCCAATTCCACGGGGTCGAAAATCTAGTTCGTGCTAAAAATCTTCCCAAACGAGCACTAGTAGTATACTGTGAAAAACTTAAAAGCACATTATCCATTGGTGCGTTTTCTTAGCCATACGCCTAAAAACTGTCGATGACCAAGACGGAAAAAAATAATTAGTTGACTGGTTGAATCCTAAGGTGTGAAATTTGAATAATTTACTTTTTTAATTACGTAGAATTTGGGTATTTCAATTTTAATTCACCCAAACAAACCTGGTAGCTATATTTAGCAGCAGTTAGGGTTTAGGGTTAAGCTACGGTTATCAAAACACACATTATATAAAGAAAACAGAAATAAACGGCAGAGAAAACACCTTGCTGTCACGTGATGTGTCTGAACTTTCCAGGTTTTTCTTTGTTCGCGGTGAACTGAAATTGAAGTACCGTATAATATATCTCTGTTAGCACTCAAATCTTTATCATTTTCATCGAGTGTTCTTCTTAAACGAATTCGTGTTAAGAAGGTTTTACTGTAATTCAATTATAGTATACTTATTTGTCACATGTAATAATAAAAATTATTGTTATTGCGCACTCAGACAAGGTTTATGTGTTTAAGGCCCTTCTACACCATAGAAAATTATGAGGGTCTGTGCACCCTTCCCCCCCCCCCCCCCAACACACACCTAACAACGATTTCCTTGTGACAGGGCGCATGTCCGGGATCCCCTAATGCTGTTAAGGCGGTCCTCGATGAAAGTACACATAAACACTTTAGTAGTCAAGCTATTAGTATAACAAGGACACAATTGCAGAGATAGATTGTCCAAAGTATTCCCTTTAGATTTGACGATCTTGTGCAATCGGAGTTCAAATCCAAAAACACATACTGCAGCACTGTGCATCTGTGCCGCCACACGTCTGCTTTGGAAATGGTATAACAAGGTGTGGAAGGAATGGGGAAACAGTGGTCCCATCAACTCGTGAATAATTTTACAGCTAGCCAAACAGATTAGTAATAGAAAGAATAGTCCATTTTTTTTTTTTTTTCGGCAGTTATAATTCTACGGGATCACTGCAGAGAAACATTGGAAATAGAAACTGTCAACTGTTTTGTTGGTGATGCTAGAAGGGGAATTTTCTTGACATTAAAATAAATACGAATGGGAATGCAGTAAAGCCAATACTTGATTCATCCATTCATTCACAAAAATGGCATGCCTTGGACTGCAGGGTACACAGGAGTAATATTCACAGTAGCCGTTACGGTTTGTGCTGACTACAACTTGCTGGGAGTTTGAACAGTTATTTGGTCATTTCCTTGTCGAGTTTTTCCAGCCAGGATATATTTTAGTCATAATGGTGGCCAAACCTATAGGTGACAGCCCGCAGTGTCAATATGGATAGCCTTTTCTTGCATTCATTTTGTCAATACATTAACTGAAACATTGTTAGTGTGTGGTGTGTACCTACGTGCGTGATGTGTGCGTGTACCTAAGTGTTTAAAGTGTGCCCATGTGTGCACGTTAAGTGTTATTTCTATATTCTCAGTCACCAGGCAAACAACTTTTCAAAATACTGATAACGAAAAAGAGTGATAACGGTCCGTGTCTGACAACTCGGGCCAGTTTGTGGGTTCCTGGGCTCAACTATGGGGAAAGAGAAAGACAGAGAAAGAAAGACACACACACACAAAGATAGACAGAGAGAGGGACATAGAGATAGGCAGAGATAGATGAAAAGACAGCGAGAAAGATAGAGAAAGAGATAAAGATAGAGATAAAGAGAGACAGAGAGAGAGAGAGAGAGAGAGAGAGAGAGAGAGACAAAATAGAGAGAGGACCAACGTCCATTAACATTCGTTTCGTAAAAGGCGACCAATTAGGTATTTGCTTAAACAGGATGTGTTAGGACGAAAGGTGCAGATATCGCAGCCTAGCTTAAATCGAAAGACAACATGTAACCGCCATATTAAGGGCACACAAAGAAGAAGAAGAAGAAAAAGAATAGGGACCGGCTGAAGAGTAGGTAGAGTTGTGACTGTGGAAAATGTCAGGCGTGTATCAAAGTGTTGAGTGTTGAATCTCGTGTCATCCTCAGGTTAATTCCGAAGCCCTCTTGTGAAAGGCAAATACCCACTGCACGCCACCTTCCCCCTCTCTCACCTCACCCAATATATTATAGTTTCGTCACCCAGCTTCTGAGTTGAGTGCATGGTGTGACACTGTGAGCTACGAGTGTTTTTCGTTGGCACAGGAGCGGAGCAAAAATGGGGTGACCCGTTTGCTATGATGCTGAAACTAGGATTACCAGATTACCAGAATCTCATTCGCATAGTGGCTCTTTGAGTCGATGGGTATTAACTGTTCACACTGCAATCCTAGAGGGGACAGTTGAAATAAGACGAGTAGTATATATAATAAATTGTATAAAAGTATCCTAGGGTTGAATGAACTTTGCGGCTGAGTTATCTGTTGTCTAATATCGGATGTCCGTCATCTGTTATCTAATGTCGGATGTTTGTTATCTGTGTTCAGTCTACGCAACTCAAAAATGAAGTCTGAAGTTTGAACAACAGATCAACATCGTGGCACACGGGTAGTAACCCATTAGTGCTCCGCCCTTCTTCTAACTCAAGTATAAGTCCGAAGAAGCTAAGCACAGTGCACAGGCTCTGTAGCACTGGCGAGGATCCTGAAATACTTTGGGTAGATTTTTAACTCCAAAATTTGCGCGAGCAGCGCCGTTAGGCTACTCTTTTCGATTTCCAACTGCCAAAGGATTTTTCTTTTTTTTACGTGCGCAGCAATTGTGACGAGCTGGTCTGGACAGCTGTTTCTGTCCTTTTAAAAAGTGCTTTGTTTAGATAATTTTATTACCAAAGTTCTAAACATTTTCCTATTGCTTTTAATTAGCATAATAACACTGGACTAATTAAGAAATTTCTTACCCCTTTCTTAATGCTTTATTGTAGCAAAATTATAATTAAAGAGGTGAAAGGTAATAAAGGCGAATGAGATGATTAGTCAAGGGGAACTGAAGAGTAACTTCCTCCTTTTTAAAGACTTCCTGTTCCATTTTCAATTCAGAAATTGACCGGTTCAGACTAAAGTTCTTAGTCCGCCTGTGGTCCAATTTTCTGTTTGAATTCCCTGCCAGGGGTGAGTTTAAAAGAATAAGTTTAATTTGATGTATTGCTGCTTTATTCCTCTGAATTAAATTCCACAGGTTAAATTCTGAAATTTAATGCCCACATGGCTCAAAAACTATGATAAATTTCTTTATCCTCACTAACCACGTTTATGATCTAGTATGTACATGTATGCAAACATATTATCTATTTGATGATTGAATTAATGTTTATTTGCTACTAGAAACGTGCATTGGTATTTTTTAATAATTATACTTTATTTAATTAAGTGATAATTATGTCCTCATGTGAAATCTCAGCCAGTTCCTGTTTCCAGCTTAGACAATTAAAAATAGGAATGAAGTGTATATTCATTATACCTAATCCCTTCTAAGTTGATTTTACCTCATGGTGATATTAGCTTAATAAATCACTGTCTTGCTTTAATTTAGATTTAGTCCAGATAATTCTGAGACTAGTTTAAGAGCTTGGAAAGTGAATAACACAGTGAGGCTGAATTTAATATTCACACTGTCAGAGAAGAAGAAGCAGAAAAGAGATGTATGGCCCATGCTTGTAATTATTATTGTTGTAGATATATTTCCCTATTACTAGGAATACACTTTCAGTTCTACAGCAGGTGGCCTTACAAATGTAATAATTATATTTCACCCCTCACCACTTCTAAACTCTGCTGAATAAGATTAGCACATGTGTGGATTTAGATTTAAACTGGAGTGAGTGTGGTATATTTTATGTTAATACTGTGACAGATGGAAAGCCCATTGTCATCTATGATTGTATTTTGACATCTATCCCAGCAGCCCCGTTATATTGATGGAGATATGTCAATCCCATTTGTTTTTCAAACAGTGCAAAGCACCTGTTATGAGTTCCTGGTCTTGGTAAACTCACTCCCTGTTTCTCATTCTTTGAGATGTGAACCCATGTGGTTAAAATGAGAATATTGTGAAATATGACTGTATATGTCGGTGTGTGTAAGCATGTTAACCCTTTAAAGGAGTACTATGTGTGGCAGACATCAGAACAATTTACACTGAGGAATGCCCCTTTCTTTTTTGTGTGATGTAAACTCTTTGTTCTTGAGAGTATTCATGAAACTGGTTTTCCGAAATATATTTCCCCATCAGGTGATTATGGACCTTGTTCTGTACACATTCCCATTCTATACCAGTAGAATGTGAACACCTGTTTACTATCCTACTCCATATATATGTGTGTAGTGTAACAGTTTTAAAGACTGGAGGTATTGTTGTCTCCAGTTAGAACCTTCCTGACTGTTTGTAATAAGGACTGTTCTATTGTTCTAGTTCCAGATTGTATTCCAGATGGTAAGTCCAGGTGGAGTCCAGAAGTAGATCCTAAGCTTAGCTGCAGATGCCCGATTGTCTGGACTGGACCGGAAGATTCGGCCTGCCTGATGTGTTTCCGAGCTTAGTAGAAGCTGACAACAGAAACCTAGCTACAGCTAAGACAGTTTCACTAACCTTGTATAACAGATTT